TCCCAAACTCCTAGATTAATAAAACCCTACACTTTTAAAGCCAATCTAAAACCGTAAACCCTAAATCCTAAAACCTCAAATTGGCAGTCAACGAGCGAACCGTCGCTCTTTTCCCTCCTTGGGCCGTTAAAGTGCCTTCGGATGCGAACACTCTCAGAGAGGTGCCGAGGATGCCTGCACAAACACTCCTATAAAATCTCTCCAGATTTAAGAGTGCTGGTTCCAGCCTCCTTTATACGCAGCAAGCTCCGCTTGCTGTCAGCTCACCTCAACGGCGTGAGACTGCCTGGCGAGTGATCACGGTAGCGGCGAGTCCATGTTGAGGAGGTCGAGGAGGCCGGACTCGTCGGCGGGCTGGGCAGCATCTTCTTATCCTTGAGGACGCTCAGGTACTTTGCCAGGTCGGAGAGGGCCTCGCCGCCGGTCTTGGCACGTGGAATGCACCACTTGATATACGAGGCGGACTCCCGGTCGCGGAGCGCCACGAGGTCCTTGTATGCCAGGTTCTTGCCGGCATACTTCCCGAAGGTGATCTTGGTGAGTCCCCACTGCTCCAAACTTCCCACGTCGCGGGGAAGAACACTGAGATCGACCGGAGCTGGTCCATTGACTGGTCGGGGCACAGGAGGGCCTCGAGGCGGAGATGGCCTTGGCTCGGCAGCTGTAGCTGCCATCATCATCGTCGTGGGCGTCATCGTCCCACGATGCCCAGCTCGAGGAGGCGGTGTCCCGGGCGCATCGACATGCTCGGTGGATCTCTGACGCTTGGAGGAGTCAGCCATAGTTCCCCCGTCATTCTTTGCCCGGTAGGCCTGGTACTGAGCACACACATCATCCCACAGGCCTTCGCGCTTGTAGAAGTCGCGTTGGTTGCGGAAGGCGGCCACGGACTCAGACCAGATCTCCTCGCCGTCGCCGAGGAGCATGCCCTTGGTGAAGAGCTCGATGCAGAGCTCCTTGTCCTTCTGAGAAAACGAGATCAGCTCAGGACGGGGCTCTTGCGGATACCCTTGGATGGATTGAGCCGGTGTGCTCAACATCACACGCTCCCAGCTTGACGCACGAGAGCCGGAAGCCATCTTGACAGGTCAGGGCACCGGAAAGATTGCCTTGCTGGCACTTGCTACCTGAGCTTCTGGAGATTGGCACGCGCACACACGCAATCAGCGATTATGCACAAGCACGGAATGAAAATGCAGGTCACTTCGGCAACACTCACAGAGTCTGTACACCCACGCATCGGCACTAGCTAACCTAACCCCTGTTAGCACCCTATAGGGCGGCACGCTCTTTGCGCCGCTGTTTCTCATCGGCACGCCAGTCCAAGATATGTTGCTCATCACTGATCTGGTACTGGCCGGTGCGGAGACACGCCCTTAGCAAATCCATTGCTTCAACGGTTTCCTTGGTCAATGCATCGGCCAGCATGCGATCCGTTGGGATCCAACGGAGATTTGCTTGGACTCGGCCCAGGCTTTCGCGGACTATGACAACATCTAAGGCGGTACGTTTATCATCTAAGGTGGGGGAAGACTTAGAGTTCAGATGGTCATACAGGGACTTGCAGTCAGTCAGGGCCATGCTGCAACGTCGGGATGCATACTGCCAACAATTGCGGAGACTACATGGGCCATCAATAGCTTCAGACAACAGCAGGAGGATCCATTCGAGCATGCCCGTTGCAGATGACATGGCCTGGGCCTCAGCGCTCAGAGTGGAATTCACCACCCTTGGAAGTCTGTAGCTACGCCAATAGGCCGGTGTCCATTGCTGCACTTCACCATTGTTCATCTCCTTATGGGTAAAACTAACTAGAAACCCGGCTTGAGTGGCCCCATCACGACCATTTGCATAGGCAGCATCACTGTGACACATGACGGCCAATTGGTCAGGCTGCACTGCACGGAACACAATGGTAGCTGAGCATTCTGGCGGGCACGTCTGACAGCGTTATTTGCAGCTACGGCATCTGACACCAGTGGTTCAGGAAAGGCTTGCTGGGAGAACGAAACTTGAGTCGACAAGTCAGGCCGGGATTGCGTCGCCAGCCAGTTCAGACCACCATTGATGGCACGCAAACAACGAATTTCATCCGTCGACAAAGGCGAGTCTTTCTGCAAAAGACGAGTTCGGCTGAGCCGGAGAGGGCGAAGCTTCTCAACAAAGCCTTCTTGAGACATGGTGATGTCAAAGCTCACAGAATCCTGCTGGTAGTGAGCTCCGCAGAAGTCACCATCTCCGATTCGCCACTTCCGGAACTCGAATTTTTGGCGAAGCGCCTCTATCGCACGGTCGTACTTCTCGCCTTCGCCGCCGGTGGCGCTGTCATCTACATGCACACCATAGATCCCTACTAGCTTCCCATTGTCACGCATATAGTAGACGCAAGGGTCGAACCGACTACGCTCAAACCCTACCTCAACTAATGCCTTATTGAGGGTCCTTTGCCAGGCAGATGGCGCGTCATTTAAACCGTAAACATGTCCTAGGACCTCAATCAAGGCATCTGACGGCACTCCAGGAATGCCGCCCGGAGGAAGACGTGCGTAAAGAGGCCGGTATGTGGCCGGCAGCTCGCCCGAAGACAAAAACGCACCCTTGATATCCCCTAGCCTAAGACGCCACTTATGGGATGCGATAAGCTG